CTTCTGGAACTGGTGATACCGACAGTTGTTAAGTGCCACACGAGTTCTGGGTATCGGACCCACGTTCTTTGGAGAAACCGCCAGAGCTCTTAACTGCTGAGCCACCTCTCCAGCACCTAGAACCTCAAATCCCCATCTTCACCTAGTTTTGCTTTTGTTTGGGCCATGCTGGGCATCGAACCAGATACGTAGTTCGGGTCGTGGGCAAGTGCTCTCTGCACTGAACTACACTGCCAGTCCTCTCCCTTTTACCACGATTTGGGCGGGACTATTATCCAACCTCATTTTAGGAATGAGAAAATCTGGTGGAAGACACGTAGGAAAAGCAACCCGTTGGAGATAGCTTGAATCGTGGTGGGAGGGCTTCAGGCTAAATCCGGAGAGAACCAAGAGGCCAGGAAACAGGCGGTGTCTGTCTCGGTATAGAGCATCTTTCTCGGGGAGATATTCCATCTCCCCTTACTGCATCCCCACCTTTACTGCATCCTCTGAAAGGGAAAACTCTCCTGATCAATCCCACCCTCCCGAACATCGGTCTCTCTCTCTCTCTTTTTTTTTTTAGGGAGAGAAGCCATATAGCTTTCTAAACCAGTGGTTCTCAACCTGTGGGTCGTGACCCCCTTTGGCAAACTTCAATCTCCAAAAAGATTTACATTATGATTCATAATGTAGCGATTCATACAGTAGCAAAATTACAGTTATGAAGTAGAAACAAAAATAATTTTATGGTTGGAGGGTCACCACAACACAAGGAACTGTATTAAAGGGTCACAGCATAGCAAGGTTGAGCAACCACGGTTCTAGACCCTCTTACTCCTGAGGCGTTCCACCCCTCCTAGGATGTCCTGGACACACTATGCAAGGCGAATGCGGCGTTGTCAAGGCTGCAGCAGGCCAGGCTGCGTTCTCTGCCTGCACCTTTGGCTTAATCTACTTTGCGGGTCTCTCAGCGGCTTCCAGACCTCTCTCTCCCTCTCTCCCTCCCCCCCCCCTCCCTGGAACTGGATGCCAGGGTTGTGGGGGAGGGGCACCAGGCCAACAAACAGCTCTGCGGAGGGTCAACCCCCGCCCAGCCTAAAACATCGCTGAGCTAGGATTGGTTGAGGTCTACTGGGCCCTGATTGGCTGGGTTTATCCTCTTGCTCGTTCACAGATTACTGGCTACTGTGTCTGCAGAAGCTTGTGTGTAGAAGGCTGCCTCACTTCTACTCTTGGCGCGGCCGTTTGTACTCATTCCGGGCAGACAGGCAAAATTCGATTCTAGCTAGCTTCTCTAAGGATGGCTGGCTGAGTCAGTCTGTGTATCCATATCCTTTGAGAGCAAGCCAGGGAACCGGCGTGTGGGAAGGGGTGGAGGAATAAATTTTGCAACCCAAAGAAGACCAAAATCTGTCCGGGAAGGTTAACTGCTGGGTTAACCTTTCACCCCTTTTGCCAGCACCAGCCCTTTGTGTCATCTATACTAACGTCCTTGCGTAGGATCATACCATACCATATGTCATGAATGCTTTTCCTTTCCATTTATTTATTTTTAAAATGTGTTGCCGGACAGTGGTGGCATATGCCTTTAATCTCAGTGCTCGGGAGGCAGAGACAGGAAGACCTTTGTGAGTTCGAGACCAGTCTGGTCTACTAGAGCTAGGAGGTCAGGCTACAAAGCCACAGAGAAACCCTGTCTCAAAAAAAAAAAAAAAAAAAAGTGGCAAAATACTCTTACTCCCTTGGCATTCACTCCTTACTGCAGGCCCCACAGGTAATGACTGCAGAGTTATGCAGAGAAAACTCAAAGTGAATATTGTAAAAAGAAAAAAAAGTAGAATAGGTGGCATGTTTTCAAATTTACATTAACACACACACACACACACACACACACATATATATATATATATGCCTTTTACCCAGCTTTGCAGAATTCATGTCTGTCTCATGCTAAATCACTGTGGGTGTTTTTATTGTTGTTACATTTTATGTAGATCTGCTCTGACCTGGTCTAGAACTCCTAACAGTCGATATGTAGACGGTTCTGATATTGTGAATCACAGAGATCCACCTGCCGTTGCCTCATGGGTCCTGGGATTAAAGGCGTGCACTTCCACAGTGGGATCTTTTTCTAATTTCTGTTTATTGGTTTGTTATTTTTCTGGACTATCTAGGACTTCATACACCACACCTGTGACCTGTGAAGACTTCTCTATGTTTCCACTCTTATAGCAGAGCACAGCCATTAATTTTTTTTTATTTTTTATTTTCAAGACAGGGTTTCTCCGTAGCTTTTGGTTCCTGTTCTGGAACTAGCTCTTGTATACCAGGCTGACCTCGAACTCACAGAGATCCGCCTGCCTCTGCCTCCCGAGTGCTGGGATTAAAGGCATGTGCCACCACTGTCGGCACAGCCATTAATTTTATATTCATTCTCTCTCTCTCTCTCTCTTTCTCTCTCTCTCTCTCTCTCTCTCTCTCTCTCTCTCTCTCTGATACAGTGTTTCTCTATAGCTTTGGAGCCTGTCTTTGGAACTTGCTCTTGTAGAACAGGCTGGCCAATAATTCATTTAATCAGCCACCCGTAGTCCAACTTTTTTTGTGAGTTAATTTATTGTCAACTTGATTGGGTTAATAAACACCAGGGGTATTATTGAGGCACACCTTTGGCTAATATGAGGAAGTTTTCAGAGGATGACTCTCTGTGAACATGGGTGGCACCATCCCGTGAGCTGGGGTCCTCAACTGAATAGAGGAAGGAGAAAGCCAGACAAGTCCTATTGCTTCTCTTCTGCTTGTTGGTTTGTAGACAAGTAGCCATGATGGACTGTGCTCCTCTCTTAGTCCCCTGTGGGACTATCCTGATTGTGCTAATTGAGATGGAAAGACCCACCTACTTTGAGGGACCCCATTCTCTTTTTAAAAGTTTTAAAAAATTCCACCAGGCCGTGGTGGTGTGTGCCTTTAATCCCAGTACTCAGGAAGCAGTGGCAGGCAGATATCTGTGAGTTCGAGGCCAGCCTGGTCTACAAAGCAAGTGCCAGCACAGGCTACAAAGCTACACAGAGAAACCCTGTCTCAAACAAAAAAGGTTTTAACAAATTTAATTTTAATTATGTGTACGTGCGTTTGTCTGTGTGTTTGCACGTGTACAGGTCAGAAGTCAGAAGTGCTGGATCCTCTCGAGCTGGAGTTCTAGGCAGCTGTGAGCTTCCAGATGCTGGGAATCAAACTTGGGTCCTGTGGAACAGCAGTAGGTGTTCCACTTCCCAAGCTCAGGCAGCATTCATACCTAAGCAGTCAGCACCCACCAGGGCCATTCCAGAGGTGCTGAGGTTTACATATCCACATGGGTGCAAATGGGATTCTTTCAGGCTATAAACGCCTTAAAAAAGAAGGGGACAGAATGCTGGGCAGACCCCGAACTGATCACACCTCCTGTCCAATGGTCCTTGAGGATATCAAAGTGAAAACCTCTACCCCTCTATATCTTGAACTCGAGTTTCTCCACAGGAGCAAATTGCAAGGCCCCTGAAGAATAAAAACAGATACATGGGGCTGGATCAACTAGCAACTTGGTAAAAACCAAGGACAAAAACATCACAAGTAACATGATTCCTCTAGTTGTATTCAGAATCAATAAAGAGACTAAAGCAATTATCACGGAAATCTGGAGGCACCCAAAACTTTTCCATTAAACAAAGTGTCAGAATCTTGATTTGCTGCTTAGTGATATTGCCATGTGGGTGCTTGTCACATCTGCCTTAACCACCTCCCTGGAGGCTTTACATGACAACTGATGTGGATCTAGCCTTGCCTGGCTTTCTGTCAGTCCTTAGTGGGACTGTGTGGAGGGCTGAGTACCCTTCTGTAGTCCGGTGCCTTTCCTCTCGCCCTTCTCTATGGCAACCCTCCCTTCCCAGCCCAGTGACAGGCATGTACACCTGAGGAAGGAGTACTTCAGTCATTTTTCTACCATCACAGTGAACTGATGAAGCTTCTGCGGTATTAAGCAATCCATCATAACAGTTGTGACTGGTTAACTTTAATTTGTCAAAATAAATCTGCAGTATTTTGCATGTTAGTAATACAGTGCTGGTATTGACAGGTAAAATCATCATCTGCGTACATAGAAACCTTCATTTAGGAGCACACCTTAGGAGGAAATGAATACACAGTAAAAGGTAAACGCAGGCCAAGCAGCGAGCGCTAGAGCAAGCATAACAGGCTGGATGTCAGATTTGAGGATTATCTAATACAACCGTTTAGCTGCCAATCTGATAAAGGGGAAGCTCTCCACCAGGTTACAACCAGGAGGGAAAACATACTCTGCCTTTTTGTAGAGTGGTGGCCGTCGGTGCCTTCAACACATGGTTGAATCAGTTCATCAGCATCACAGCTCAGCTTCAGTTCCAGAACACAGGAGGATCTCACCACACAACCTGTTTGCGCCCCTTTGCAATGGCCTACCCTCACCCCATCCTGCCATCAACTCTCTCCCTCCCAAGAGAAGACACAACGTGGCTTTATTATTGCAGACAAGCTTCTTAAGTGAATAGAGTATGCATACAAAATAGCATTTTATCTCAAGTCATACACGAAGTCTCACTCCTGTTTACAATGAGTTGATAAAACAATCATTTCTAGTATATATCTTTTCTTCCCCCGTAAGAACTAATACTCTCAGGGTCTTATGACCACGCTGTAGCCTGGGGGGAAGGGCCCATACCTGCCCACTTTGAGGACTGCTTCTTGGACCACTGTGGAGGAAGCCTGGGCTGTCTATGAAGAATCGCGACTGCCGCCAGAACAGAGATGGCAGGGCCCAGCAGACAGAGCACATGCCAGGAAACGAGGACTTCCTCCACATGTGACCACTCCTCTTCCAGGTCTCAGCAGTGCCATTCCTGGGCCTTCCCCACATGAGCCCTTCCAGTAGCTCACACATAATGATCTACATATTAAAAACAAACCAACTTTCAACTGTGGATAAGAACTGCTGTAACAAAGTCATAGCTACATATTTTTCTCTACATCTTGTTTATTGAGACAAACTAATTAAAAGGCACAAACATAGGGCATGTTTACATGGACATTATAACAAACATATACATTAAAAGTGTAGGAATGTGTTGCCTTCCTGCTAAACAGAAAGTTCCTAAGCTTTATATATACAAAAGTTGTACAATTTAATGTCCTAAAGTACAAAAGATCATTTATAAAATTATTTTACACTAGGTACTATTTATTTTAATTTTTTTTTACTATGTAGTTCATCCCCCTAGAACTGTTTTGTATAATGACACACAGATACCTGTCCCTGATGTAGGAAGTCTGTCTCAGACACAGGGTATTTTGATGTTTGTACTGACACAGTGGGGTATAAACGGAAGTCATCTGGTGTGAGTCCTGCAAGCATTCTGCAGGGTTAACAAAACTCATTTCCATTTCTCTTAACTGCAAAATTAAAAATGAAAAAGACCCAAAACATATTGCAATGTAAAAAAACAAAACCAACAATTACAGCATCTTGGTTTGAACGAACTCTTCTCTAACCCAGTGCTTTAAAAACATGACATGTGGTATGATGGCGTAAAGAGTATCTGTTTCCCTAGCTTTTGGTTTCTACCGTACGTACAGGGATAAAGCATCCGGCTAAGAAACAAAAGCACATGTCTCAACGTGCACAATCATTGCTGGGTTTCCATGGAGCATGCAGACAGCCTCCTCCCTGAAAACTCCAGAAAGCAGATACAAGTGTTTTCTTAAAAGAAAAAAAAAAAAGTGATGTCCATATTTACAAAGTTGAACGAATCTGCACAATACTTGATTAGACAGAGGAGGGAGAAAAGATACACTCTGCTTGTTCTGAAGGGGCATCCTACCTAGTTAGTGGTTAGAATAAAAACTGTATACAATTTAATATAAGACATAAACTCTAGTGAGCATCTAACACATCTGTGCCTGCTGTAACATCAACAGGCGCTGAATGGGAGAGAGAGGGGCCTATCACATCCCAGTGCCTCCAATGTCTTCCAATTTAAAGCAATAGATTTAAACTGCTCCAAAGTCCTCATTGCTCCTGAACAGGAACCGCTGGCCTGCGTTTGGAGCCTGTGTGCACACCTGACTTCTCCTAAGTCAGCTGCAGCCTTCTCATCAAAGCACAATTTGTTTTTGTTTTTTTTAATAGTTTTTGTTGTTTTTTTTTAAAAAGTCAACTACAATGCTATATTCCATCAGGATTAATATGCTGAGCAATATTTACATCTCCAAATATCAGGTCACAATCCCTATTATATGTTGAAGTTAGAATGATAAATTATCATATGCTTTGCATATCAGAGCTGGTATCACCTTTCCCATAGGGAATGCTGCCTGAAATTAACATATTCCCAAAGGTAAAATGCATATTCTCTGAAATGCATTTTATTATGACAATGCATCTATTTACTCATACAAACAAAAAACACAGACAATTCTACACTAGCTCTCACTCTGTGGGTTTAGAACTTCAGGTTAAAACTACCCACCTTGTACAGAGGGAAAAGCTCTGCTAGTGTTTACAATAAAATGATTTTGTAGGATTAAAACAAATATAATTAAAAACAAATAATGCTTTTTTTCCTTTTGAAATGGGCTTTATGATTGGTTTTAATTCTGGCATTTCACCTTGCCAGCTACTATCCTGTTTAAGCAATGGGGTCAGCTAAAAGGGGTTCTGATTAAACTAATGTGGTCCAGTGATAAGTTACACATATACCCTACTTTGAACAACCCCAGCCAAATTGGAGCAAAATGCTACTACACTCTTATTAACTAACGTAATAAAACCTCCCAATTTCATAGTCTGCTTTTTGCTTTAATCAACTAAAATTAAGTTGCTGGTAAATATTTACTTTAACCCATATTTTGACTTTATAATACTGTTTACCAAGGTGGTGATGTAGGCAAAGCTTGGGGCAAGAAAGGCATGCTTTCTACAGGCCTCATTGCTATATTGAGGGGAGCAGCTAATGTCATAGGTGTGGGCAGGTTCATCGGCGATGTGATGGTGACAGGGTGTGCTATATTCACCGGGGCAGTTACAGGGGTGGGGAGGTTGACTGGGGTAGTGAGTGTTAAAGGAGAGGTCATGGATAATGGACTGGTTATAGTTACAGGATGCCCAATGTTCATCGGGCTGGTTATATTAACTGCACTTGAAACATTTACTGGACTTCTCATGCTCATTGCAGCTGCCACTGTGACTGGGTTTGACATAGTCCCAGACGACACAGAGGAGGTTATATTGAATGGAGTAGTGAGAGTCACAGGTGTCGTAGCAGCCGTGGAGGTTTGGCACAGGTTGGCAGCTTCTAAAATGAGAAGACAAAAGGGACTTTAGACTCTCATACCTATAAGCAAAATTCAGCTTCCGAATTAACTTCTCTTAATTAAAAAGAACATTTAATAAACCAAATTACAGTTTCTACTAAGTGATAAAATACGAAGAGAGGATCTTCTGCGCATAGTCCTGGGGCAGAGATCCCACTCTATGAATCTCTTTTCTGATGCCTCGGAAGACTTGGGCAACTTGTTCAGTCCTGAACTTCTGATTTCAGTTCAGATTTACTACCTACCTCAGAGATGCTGAGAGGACCAGTGACTTCTGCATGGTGCTCTGGGGAGCAGAGGCACTGAGTAAGCTAAGTGTCCTCACTGTCTTCATGCCTTCTGAGTTCTACAGCCTTTCCTGGGACAGTCAATCACGAGCAGGCCGACAGGAAAGACTTGTCCACACTGTGCCACCAGTGAGTTCTCAAAAGGCACACTAATTAGCAAAGAGGTGTGTGTACTCTCACTCACAAATGCTAAATGGCTTCTTCGATGTGAAGCCACACTCCGCTGAGGGTTTAAAAATGGATGACGAATGATAAACATTATTTCAGTGTCTGTCTGAGTCAGGAGTTAACCAATATTATAGTTCATAATGTTTCTTTTCTTTTCGAGATGGAGGTCTATGTACCCTTGGCTGTCCTGGAACTGGTTATGTAGCCCAGGCTGGCCTCAGAGATCTTCTGTCTGCCTCTACCTCCACAGTGCTGGGTGGGATTAAAGGCATGCACCATGATGCCTGGCTTAGAAAGTTTCTTCTGCTAAGGGAAAGCTACTACTCAGTAGTTGTATGCTCCTTTCCTTCTCACCCCTACTTCCTCTTCTTTCTAATGCTGATATAATCACCTACTTCATGCCCAATAGCATCTAACAGCACACATTACACACACCACCAAGCATACCAAGTAGGACTAACTCGGGCAAGGAAATCCTGTGGCATGTTAGGGAAATCCACTCCTTTTTATTCAGCAATGCCCAAACAGATCCCTGGGGCTGGAGAGCTGGCTCAGCAGTTAAGAGCACATGTTGCTCTTATAGACAGCCTGGGTTTAATTACCAGCACCTACACAGTGGCTCAAAAACAATCTGTAACTCCACTTCCAGGGGACCTGAAGCCCTATTCTGGCTTCTGCAGGCACCAGTCTTGCATGTGGCACACATACATACAATCAGGCAGAACATTTATACACATAAATAATAAAATATTAATTTAAAAAAAAGAAAAAAGGTCCCTGGCAGATGACATCCTACTTCACCCACTCCAGAAAATTCAGCACCACCTATCAAGATGCCATAAATTGGCAGTAAGGAGACAGACCTGTGACACCCACTCAAGTCTACAGCTAGAGGAGTCTGCACAGGGTCCACAGAGGGGTCGAACCACTTCAGGACAGTCAGCCATTTGATTGGTCTGACCTTATCTGGCCTGCTCTGCACTACATACCAGGAGCTGCCAAACAAGAATGATGATGAAAAACATCTAGGGAGGCTCTTTTTATTTTTTTAATAGATTGCTGGGATATTCAATTGTGAAACTGAGATAGAACCTGGCAAATCTATAAAGTTAAAAAGCTTCCTCAATGATAATCTGATTTTCATCCAGGTTTGGGAATTTAAAATTTATCCAGGTCTAATATTTAAAGAGCATTTCTGGCTAGGTGTGGATCTCTGGGTTTGGGGCCAGCCTGGTTTACATAGGGACCTCTCGGGCAGTTAGGGCTACATAGTGAGACCCTGTCTCAAAAAAATTAAAACACACAAACAGTGACACTTTAAAATCAAGTTTAGATTTTCATGAGGTTCTCAATATAGCCATCTCCTCTTTCCCAAATGTAATGTTTACTAACAGAGAGAGAGACTCCAGCTACAAATGGGAACACAATAGCATTTTGTTTAATGAAGGTCAGAAGATGAGTTAAACAATCAAGTCTTATTATGCAAAGCAAACTGAAATACAACAGGGAACACAAATGCAGACAGTGAGGATGGGAGAAGGCCCATCACTTCCTGGGTAACAGTATCACTGCTGCTGTCCTCTCCTTGTGCTCTACCCAAAGGAAGGCGTTTCTGTCTCCTCCCCTACAGTCTTCATTTCACTCTAGAGGATTAAACCTTTGGTACTGGACATAGAAGGCAAGTGCTGACCACTGGGCTGTGCCCTGATTCTCAAGCATCCTTCTACTATTGTAGTAGTAAGGGCGGCGGGGCTGCGTCCCCAACACCCCAGCCGCCCGCCTGGCTAGCTTATGCCCCGAAATAATTACACGGACACTGTATTCTTTTAATCACTGCTTGGCCCATTCTCTTCTAGGCTAATTCTCACATATTAATTTAGCCCATTTCTAATCATCTGTGTATGGCACCCCAAGGTGCGCTTACCAGGAAGATTCTAGCCTATGTCCATCCTGGGTCGGACCTTCATCGCGTGTGTCTGCCAGGGAGCAGGGCATGGCGTCTCTGCTGAGGCGTCTGCTCCGGAGAGCTGTCGAGAGTCTCTGACCTCACTTCCTCTTCCTCCCAGCATTTTGTTCTGTTTACTCCACCCACAAGGCCAAGCAGTTTCTTTATTGGCCAATGACCTTCCTCCATCATACTATGACTTCAAATACTTTTATTCCTTCTTTAGTGAAAATATCCTTCACAATATTCCTTCAACTACTACACAATTATCATCATCTAAACTTCTATAACAAAGCCCTCAACAGCAGAGGAGCAGATAGGTTAAGGTAGATAAAGCAGATAAAGGTGACACCAAGAGCCAAGAGAAAAGACAGCAAGACAATAAGGTCTGAATCATGCACCAAATAATCAACACAGGACCAGTCCTGAAAAACAGGAAATCAGCAATGAGAAAATGAACTCCCACAAGGATAGCTCATCTACCTCAAAGTGGTAATATTTTAGAAATTAAGAAAAGAGCCCATTGAGTGATGATGGTGCACACCTTTAATCCCAGTACTTGGGAGGTAAAGGCAGGTGGATCTCTGTGAGTTTGAGGTCATCCTGGTCTACTTAGAGAATTCCAGGACAGTCAAAGGGACACAGAGAGACCCTATCTTAAAACAAAACAAAAAGGAACCCTTAGCACAAGGACACTGACATAAAAAGGAACTATAAGCATACTAACCTTGACTGCATATGTAACAAAAAGTAAATCCAGAGAAAGAACAAGGCAGGAAGCGCTGAGGACTTTCATTTCCCAGTAACAAAACCCTACACGGAAGCCCTGCTGCCAATAATTCGATTATACCAAACACTGTCCATAAGCAGCACTGTGAAGCTGCACTCCCCCACTGCTGCGCTCCACTTCTGTCACCCGGAATACTAATCAAACACTCCTGAGCCACACGCAGAGCGCAGAGCACCGGAAGCCCCTTCTTACCTTTCTTTCTTGCTTTGACAGCTTCTTCCCACAATCTCAGTGTCTCTACCTGCTTCCCTGGCCAGCTTGTCACATGTTGTTGTTGTTGCTGCTGCTGCTGCTGCTGTTGTTGCTGTTGCTGCTGCTGCTTTTGATTGCTGGTCTCTTCACTCATGCATGCTATTCCAAAGACAAACCACAAACATTGTATTTACCTTGAAAGAGTGGAACCATGTTTTCAAACTCGAACCTAGGAGCTAGAGATATAACAAGTCAGCTGTTACAGTGTCTGACTAACATGCAGGAAGAAGACCTGATTTCATTCTCAGCATAAGACCCTATCAAAAACAAAAGCCAAGAAATCCAAGCCAGAAATTTTGCTGCATACTTTTAATCTCAGTATTCAGGAGGCAGAGGCAGGTGGATCTCCACGTGGAGCAACCAGTCTGGTGGTCTACACTGTGAGTTCAAAAAGCCAAGACTACATAGTGAGAACTTAATTCAGAAACAAGCAAGCAAGCAAACAATCCCACCCAAACACGGGTGTTTTGACTCCTTGTGCCTTTATGGTTATTGTCATTTAACTAATAGCTCCTAATGTAGTGAATTTTTTTTTCCTGCCTGTGTCTATACTGAATAAAACAAATAGATTTGCTAAAAGTCAGGAAATGAGGAGCAGCAAGATGGCTCAGCAAGGAAAGAACTCCTGGCACCAAGCCTGATGTTCTGAGCTGACTCCCTAGAACATATGTGGTTGAAGGAGAGAACCAACTCTCCAAAGTTTTCCTCTGACCTCCACACTTGCACTGTGGTATATGTGTGCACATACACTAAATAAATAAAACATCATTTTAAATAATCTATAGGACTAGAGAAAACTAATATAAAAAAGAAAGGAAAATTTTGCTATATTATAAAGGAAGTATCTTTGAAAAAGGAAGTTGAATAATGTTAGTTAGCATGGGTTCAATATTTAATAAACTATCAAATAGATTTGTTTAACCACAGAGACATATATTAAATTTTTATAAAGTATAGCAAGCTAGATAATGAGCCCAATATACTCACAGAAATGCAAAAGTAGATAGGATTAAAACACATTAAGCGAGTCAGGTATGAGGCACATACCTTTAATACTAGTATTTGGGAGGCAGAGGAAGGCAGATCTCTGAGTTCCAAGTCAGTCAAGGCTACAAGAGTATAAGAAAACAAAACAAAAAACATATTAAGCCGGGCGGTGGTGATGCACGCCTTTAATTCCAGCACTTGGGAGGCAGAGGCAGGTGGATCTTTGTAAGTTTGAGGCCAGCCTAGTCTAGGACAGGCTCCAAAGCTACAGAGAAACTCTGTCTTGAAAAACAAAACAAAACAAACAAACAAAAATGCACATATTAAACTTTCCCATTCACTGAAGCTATTCATGATCATTTTAGAGAATCTGACATTTCTGTTGCATGAAATATATATGTAATAAGATAAAGAACTATGAAAATAGCCCTTCGGTGGTGAAGGAAATTTTTGAAACAAAGTTACATATATTAAGTATTAAATTTTATCTTCAACTCTGAACTTAATCCTGCTGTGAGTGTGAGTGACAAGGTCTCACGCAGCCAAACTGTCTCTGTTGGTGATGTGAGCCTTGAACTCCTGACTCTCCTGTTCCCATCTCCCAAGTGCTAGGATTACAACTATATGCCACCAGTTTATTATTATCATATCATATTACTTTGAGACAGGGTCACAGGCTAGCCTCAAATGTACTTTATAGCCAACTCTGATCTTGAACTTCTGATACTCCTGCTTCTCGCTCCCATGCTCCAGGAACATAGGTGTGAACCACAACACCTAGCCGCTGCAGTTCCAAGCACCAGAGCTCTTATTCAAACCTCAAACAAAACAATGAAAATAGCTGGGATGAAATTCTGCTCTATGGGTATAATTGGTAGTAGACAAGTATAGGACTAGGAGCGAATGGAGAGTGTAACAATGCTGTTTGCATACATGGTTTAAAACAGTTCCAACACCAACATGCTCTCTCCATTGATGCCTGTTTGCCTAGTCTGGTGATGGGAGGAAACAAGATGAACATTAATACAGTCCCATGAGCATAGTCTAAATATCTTTGATATATTGAAAAAAGAAGCCTACATTTCATCAATATGAAATGCAAAACAGTCTGAAACATCACCTACTTTTGCTGATGCCTTGTTTACACGTATTACAGTTGATACTTTGGCTCTGCCCATGTGTCTTTAAGTGGCTGGTGATATATGCTGCACTCAAGAGCTTCCCACAGATGTTACATGATACTTTGCCTTCGTGGCGCACCATGTGTGTCCGTAGTCTGTCTTTGGTGGCAAAGGCAGCAGTGCACGTCTGCATGAGGGAGGAAAACTTTTTTTAAATATAGACTATCCTGTTCAACTCATTTTAAAGTGCGTATATTCTGCACATTACCCCTACCCACTCAGCAAGCTTGGCTGAACTAGTCTAATTTTCATCGCATGTGTTATTGAGAATCACCGATCATACTAAAACAGCTGGTGATTTTAGATGCTTCCATTTTGGAGGAAGAAAATACATCAACACAGAGTAGTGAAAAGATAAGAGGCTCACACTGAGTTAAACCTAGATTTAGGGCTGGGCAGAGGGCTCAGTGATAGAGTAACTGCCTCATGGGTTCAATTCCCAGCACTGCAAGAGCAAAGCCAAACAAGACAAAAACAAAAGCCTAGATTTAAACTGAGTTTCACAAATCACTAAACAGTGTAATGCTAAACAAGACAGTTAATCTGTCTAATGTCTCTATGGAACTGGGACAACACCTATCACAGAATTCCTGGCAGACGAAGAGCTTGATTCAGAGTAGTATTCAGTGAATGACACTATTGCCCTTCCTTCAATTAGATTGTTCCTAGAATTCAAGTCATTTACTTAATAAACAACCGAAAGGAGCACTAAAGAACTTCCAACAACAAATTAGGATCAGGAATGCCTAAAACAGTCATTTGAGTGGGAAAAATTCTTAACTTTTTCATTATCACAATTTACACCTAATAAAAATCACTGATTTGAATACATCCTCCAATATGGTAAAAGCAAACAACAATCTAGTAAATAATAACACTTATCCCAATGATAACAGAAAATGCACTGTAAAATTTTCGGCTGCTCTTGCAGACGAACCAGGTTTAGTTCCCAGTATTCACATGGTGGCTCATAAGCACCTGTAACTCCATTTCCAGAAGATCCAACAACTTCTTTTGCCTTGCTTGGGCACCAAGCATGTACATGGTGCACATACATACATGCAGGCAAACATTCATATACATAGCATAAAAAATAACAAAAGGGTTTGGAGAAATGACCTGGAGGTAAAGAGCACTGGCTGCTCTTGTAGAGGGCCCAAGTTCAGTTCCTAGCACCCATGTAGTGGTTCACAACCTTCTGTGACTCCAGTTCCAGGAAATTTGATGCCTTCTTCTGACCTACTTAGGCTCCTGCATGCATATTGTACACAAACATACATTCAAGTACACACACATAAAGTAAGTACTTTTTTAATTACAAAAAATTTTCCCCTCTTACACCAAAAAAAAAATGTCATTGTCCAAGGAAAGGGAACACAGCTACACAAAAATAATACACTTATATTTAAAAACAATCTTAATATATAATATATATATACATATATATGTGTATATATACTATCTTCATATTATAAAACTAGAATTCCAATGAACCACATTCACTCCAATCTGTGACGTGACTGTTCAAGAACCACAAGATTTGAGTGGCTCCGGCTTTCTGGACAATGTGCACCAGGTGCTACGCTAAGGATAAGTCATTTTAACTCTTACTTGGCATTTGAAGGGTCTTTCTGTTGAATGCACGTGTTTTACATGACAGCTTAGGTGGTCAGGCCTGTAAAAGAGTTTCAAACGGAAGATGTAATGCAACACTCGGAGAAACGCCGCTTATGTGACGCTGTGCCTTGCAAACTACAGGGGAGCGTTCTGCAGAAAGCCAGGATTACCAACTCCCCCACCCTCAGCGCAAATCTCCTCACCTCTCACATCACAAACCCAAATCTGAGACCTTCACCTGTTCTTCTCCTAGTCAACATCAGATCATACTAAAGTTCTGATTCTTTACAACACAAACATTCAAAAGTTGTAGTTTCAATACCAGGAATAACTACCACTGTGTGAACTCTAAGAGCTTTTTTCATTTTTTTTTTAAAGTGAAAAAGTACACATATAAAAATGGGGCTAGAGAGTGGGAGAAAAGCTTCTTAAAAGTTGCATTAAGAGTATGCAAAATCTCTCTGATTTGCAGAGATCCTCATATCGGGTTCTCCAACTGAACTAAAAATTGGCAAGACTTTTGAAGTGTTAAGAATCCTTATGCCAAATAAAGGCCTGGGTCTACCGAAGTCCCTCCTTAAGTGACCTGACAGGTTAACTGCTATGTTCCACTAGTCAGTCATACCAAATCAGAGTTAGACCTAAAGACAGGCTTTTTCACCAACCTCCCCTTATAATGCAGACCTGCACATATAGCTTTTCACATTAACCTAGATCACAGACACAAATTGGCTCTGACCGATGCCATAATGAAAAAGCAATGCAAAATGCAGTACCTTGAGAAGCCTTTCCCACAAACACTGCAAGTATAGGGTTTGGTGATGCCTCCTTCATGAGACCTCACATGGTAAGTCATCCGGTCCTTCCTCTTGAAGCGCTGATTACAAATAGGACACTCAAAGGGCTTTTCGTCCGAATGGGAAAGCTTGTGCCGATTGAGGTGGTACACATCCCGGAAGGCCTTCCCACACATCTCACAGGCATGATTCTTCTTGACGGGCTTACTGGGTTTCTTGACAGACTGGGGCACAGGCATTGCTGTGGTGCTGGCACTGCTACTGGGGTTGGTGCCCGAGGAAGATGTAGTGACTGTTGATAAGATGCCTGCAATAGTTGAAACCAACGAAGTTCGGCTGCTGTCTCCAGCGATGGTGGAGATAAGGGGAACCACCGTGGTGGGAGTTTTCTTTGCCCTAGACACCAGCTTGATCCCTGTGTGGCAGGACTGATGGCGCCTCAGGTGATAGCTGTCCCTGAATGCTTTACTGCAGTAAGTGCACACAAATGAAGTTTTGGGTTTTTCTTTTTTAATCCCAATGGCATCCTTTAATGTTTCTGGTGCAGCCTGAGGTTTCTGAGTTATTGGTATTGGAAGCAACGGTTTCTGATCAGGGGGCTCCACAGCAGAACTCAGGAGGGGCAGCAAGCTGTTCTGTGCTGCCTGCTGTTGGTGATGGGAGGCTTCATGGGCCTAAAACCAAACATTTACACTTGAGAAACTGAGCCTCTCAGCGTGACCTTAACCATTCAACATGCTCCAGACAAGAGAGAGCAGAGCCACAGTCCCGGAGTCTGTGAGCTGCCCTCGGTTACAGAGCTGCAGCGACCACCTGCTCTCAAGAGCTCTGGATACAAAACACTGAAAAATCACTGCTGGTCAAAATGTTTGCATCTACACTGCTGACAGCAATCATACTTTCAAATAGTTGACTAAAGTACACACTATCCTGGCTCATGAGAGACATTAGTCGATGAAATCAGTGTGCATTTGACTGCCAATACTGAAACCAATCTTAAATAACTTGTCAAAAAAAGAGTACATGCCAGATTTAAGTATTTAACAGTATCTTAGATTGTGGCAATATACAAACCCTGTATATGATCAACAAGATCATCTACTTATCTGTTACAAAGGGCATAAAAAGCACCAAGTCTCTCGCTCTTATCAGAAGAAAACTAGTGATTGAGAAAGGGCCTGCTAAGCAATGAAAGGAATGTAGCTCTGTGAATACACACACTAGCTGTTAAGTTCACTTACAAAGAGCATCACTGAATTCTACTAAAAGATGTGGCTGACACGGAAGGCATGTGTGAAGGTGGCAAACACCTGGCATCTGCTTCTCAGACCACGAAGCCTCTACTAGAGTTTGCATCCTTTACCAACACTAGCAAGAGAAAGCGAACTGCATCCACACTCAGATGCACCCTCTTCCAGAAGCAGGCTGTGACACAGTGGTAGATATATGCTTCTCTACTCTAGAACCTTAGCTGGACCACTGTTTGGAAATTTTAGAAAACGATGGAAAAAGTTCTTGAAATAGCTCTTCCTAATATGTTGCTCTTTACCAACTTTATTTTTTAAATATTCGACAGTGAGCCCAAGCCCCTATGCTTGAGTCTTGTAATCCTAAAAGGACCAAGCTAGGAGTTCCAAATATTTTAAGCATATAACATCCCATCATCGTAGACATGTGAGTTTTCTTCCCTTCACACTCTGTAGTCACTTGGTTACCTAAGTTATCAAAGACACAGACAACGAAACAACACCCAAGGAAGCTAGCAGGGCTTCTCCTCTGTCGGTCAAGGGCATCCATTTCTCACTTTCCACTTAATTGCAGGTCAGCATCTGGGCCTGGAACCACTCTTCCCAAAGATTAGGTGTGGTATCCAAAGGAGGCAGTCTGAATTTAACAATCTTGACTTAAAATGTCCTTCAGGCTTTGCAATAACACTTAGAAAGTACAGTTACTAATGGGTCTTCTTCCAGATCCAATGCCCACACCGAATTACAGTCCACTTTTCATCTAACGTGTGCAGCTCTTCTAACTTGGAGCCTACCTACCCAGGTGTACTTATAGAATTTGGCTTCTAATCTTACTCTTTTTTTGAGCTGAGTAGGATACCCAAGTTTCCATAATGAATACAAACAGGTAAGAGCTGAAGCTCGCTCAAGATATACAATTTCAAAGGCTAACATATCACACGCCATGGAATGCAAATCTTCTGGACAAAGTTCAAACTTTTAACATTTTGAGCCATTTTTCGATTCTAAACAACCATTAGAAGGATGGAGCACTAAAAGAAATGACTGTCATTTTACCAATCCAGATGTTTGTGCTATACAAATTATCTCTACAGCACTGCCGATGCTCACACTCACGAGGGTCACACCAGGTCCCCGGTCCTTAAATAAAATGCTGTAGAACTACTGGAAGAATCAGTCTCTAAAGATTCCTAAGAGCCCAGCCCAGCACTTCTCCATAAAGCTGGCTAAGAAGGCAATTTTCCTCAACTTGTTTCCTGAGGAAAAGAGTTAAATAAAAGCCACGGCCTGCCTTCAACAAAGTGATTTACTTCTCAAATGTAAGTTCTCAGTAGGCTTTTATTAGACTAGCATCATCACATCAAAGTTTAAATTTTATCTTCTAACTCAAGTGCACAGCTCCAGCCCTGCCCAAGCTTTCCTTTTTTCTGGGGCTGGCAAAAAACAAAACAGAAATGTTATTTCATCACCCAGGGTGGTAGGATGTAGAACCATGAAATCTCCATTGCCAGAGGGTAAGAGATTTTGTACTGAAACAAATTAGCATCGGTGAGTCATATCTTGAATGTCCTGTTAGAAGAATCATCCATCAAATATTTTAAGAGCTTCACTTTCACTTTCCACCATGTTATCTGGAAAGCAAGCAGGTTATTAAATTTTGTTTAAAGATACAAATTCAACAGGATGCTCCAAGAAACAGAGTTGAATTCTCTATTTCCCCAGTGAGAAACTGAAAACTGGCACCGAATATCTGTTTGTATCTTTCCATAGGAGAGACTGAAGGTCTCTTTCCTCATTGTCCTCAACTCTAAATTACAGCTTTTTCAACAACTTTCACACTGCGCTCCCAGGATCAAATATGAGCTTTCACGTTTCCTCCTCAGGTGGAAAACAATAGGTTGGCATTAGCTTTATCCAGGAAAAAAAATAGTTAAAATGGCTTTTTAAAGTATGGAATCTTTCAACTAGCTTCCCAAAGATGAACTGTGGGCTTCTCCTTTACATAAAGAACTCGATTTGCTCGCTCTCCATTAAGTTCACGGATACTCGGTGTAAAAGTGTTTAAACCACTTCTATGGCTCAGTCCTTTATTGTAAAATGACCATCTGTAAGCTTCTTCTAAAGAAGGCATTTGCCGGCTTTGCACCAACCCCGCCAGCTAGTTTTGTATTTCTTTGCCAATACATTCTTAAGTTATCACTTTATTAACAAGCTCATCAAAGCAACCAACACTAGATCAGAGTGATAGTGTGGGAAGTTCATGCGTTCCAAAATCTTAAGAATTCCCGATTTTAGTAAGTCCATTTGTTTTACTAATTACTTAAAATCAAAACGCCCATACTTGAAAATATGTCTTAATAAGACAAGCCAGGTTACACAATAGGTCATTTTGCGTTCTCCAGTTCCCTATATAACTCCACCGGGATGGGACCAGACGCTGAGAGGATAATCTTCTGAAGATTCTGCATTTCCAAAGGGCTCAAAGCACCCAAGCTATGCGTTTGGAATTTCACGAAGAATTCATAGGAAAATAACTCAAAAGAGGCAGGCGCGAAGGACACAACTTTTAAAAACGACGAGCTTCCTAACCTTCGGGTCTGAAGTTTCTACGTGAGCTCATCTCTACTGCTCATCAATGTATTTGCAAACAGAAACGAAGCAGGAAAGAAAGTTCCAAACTGGGGTCCTGTATTAAAGTGGCAGGGGAAAGGTATGGCTAAAGTATCCGCTATAGTAGCTTTGAAGTTTCTATCAAAAAAAGCGAAGATCCACACGCCACGAGTGACTCATCTGGGGGCTTTGTAAACGGACTTTGCGCTCGCACTCCGCTTCCCGTCGCCCACTGGGCCCGAGCGAAACGTTCGAGCGAGCGGGCCGCGAGCGAGCGAACGAGCGGCGCACTGAGAAGGTCGGGCCTGCAGGAGTCCCGGCCCCCGCCGCTCCCCGCCCCCGCCCGGCCCCGCCAGCCCGGGGATTCCCCAAGCTCAATGGGACGGCAGGAGAGCTGGACAGAGGCGAGGGGACCAGCTGCCAGGACTCAGCTAGGACTCGGAGTAGGAATGGAAAAAAGTTTGCGGAGGGGAACCACGCTCTCAACACCCCCGGTCGGGTATACCCGAGGGGGCGGCGAGAAGGGGGAGTGGCGGCGAAGCCAGAGATACCCGCTATTCGCGGGATGTGGGAGGAGGGTCAGAAAGTCAACACACAAGCACACACACAAAAAGAGAGGTGACGCGAAAGCGCGAGCAAAAGATGGATGGGGACTCGGAGCAGGACCGGGGGACCCCCTCGTTGCGCTGCGCGGCCGTGTCGGGCGCGCAGTGGCCGAGCGGCCCGCGCTACCCAGCGGCCCGGCGCCCTCCTTTCTCTGGGCCGCGGGGTGGTGACAGCGACCGGCCTCCTCCCTTCCCCTTCGGGGAGGGAGGGAAGGGTGTGTGTATACGTGTGTGCTTGGGGGGGCCCGGGTTCACCCCGAGGCCTGCTTCTCCCCCGCACCCCGTCAGGCCGCCTCCTTTCACCTCAGCGGCCGGGCTCCGCGGGAGCGGGCGGGCGGAAAAACAAAGGGGGATTAAGGCCGGGCCGGAGAGCGGAGCCGGGAGGGGAGGAGCGCCCGCCCGAGCCCGGCCCGGCCCCCCTGGCCCCCCGGCCCCCCCGGGGCCCCCAGTACCTGGAACAGGAACGCGGTCCAGTTGGCCTCCATGGCTGCGGCGGCCGACCCCCCTCCTCCCCACTCCCCCCGCTCGGGGAGCCTCCTCAGCCGGAGGAGGCGACAACAAAGCGGCGGCGGCGGCGGCGGCGGCAGCGGCAGCGGCGGCTCCTCAACATGGCAGCGCCGAGCGCGGCCACTTCCGGTAACCTCCGGGACGCACCACCGCGGCGGCGAGCGCGGGCGGGGGGGGAGCCCCGGCCCGGCCGCCGCCGCCCCCAGCCGCTCCGACCCCCTCCGGGCGTCCCCGCTGCCGGCGCGCCGCCTCGGAGCTCAGCCAGTGCCCGCGGGCGGTGGGGTCAGGGCGCCCGCGCGGGGGCTGGGGTGGGGCCGGGGGCGGGGATGGGGCGCGGCGTCCCCCCCCGCGGGGGTGTGTGATGCTGCGGTCCGTGGCTCAGGCAGCTGGAACAGGGGGGAGCTCAGGAGAGAAGATGGAGGACGCCAGGGTCTGGCACAGGCCCGCTGGGCACAGCTGGGCTGCCTTGAGTGACTCTGATTCGGTGCCCAGCGGCGTGGCGTCCTCATCATACCCTCAGCAGCAGTCAGAGCCCCGGTCAGTCACCTGGCTCTTCGGCCAAGCCCATCACAGCTTCCACCTACGAACTAAGGGGACGTAGGATTTCAGTGTCCCCACCCTCCGGGATTTTCATTCCTGGCCAACTAAGCCCTCTCAGCACTCTTGTATAACGCCATCGCCCTTTGCGTGGCCTTCCAATTTGAGCAGGGAATTCCACTAGGATCCAGTCTTAGATCCTCCTAGTGTGGAGGGAAACACTTCCCACGCGTTCGTATGTCATTACTGGGTTATTCTTGGGTGAAGGACTGTGCTTCCCCATCCTTCCCTCTCATTCCAGATACAGGAAATTATATTTTTTAAAAAAAGACTCTCTCCCGCCAGGGTTAAAAACAAACAATAACAACAAATGAGAACAAGTATAGAGAGAAAATTATTTTAGTATTTTAGTACATTTTCACCCCTTCCTCCTCCCGAACGAAGTCAGACTTCTGGTTGGACAGCGTCAGATGTCACTAAGGTGACCCCAGCCTGTTTGCAGTTCCAGTCTTCTGTGTAGGAGTCAGCCACTGCTAATGGTTGGAATCTGTAGATCATAAGCCCGCATGAAGTCTTGAATGTTTTCTATCCTTTCCTCACATAGAGGTAGCTACTGTGAATATCAGAGACAAGCTATTATTAAACACGTGTCTCCAGTCCAAGAAATCCGTGGTGGGGAAATGAGGGGGCAGCCTCCTCTATGGTATTTTTATAAACTGGCTTTTAAAAATTCCTCAGATGGGTACATTATTTCAGGACATCAACATATTTCAAACTGACTCTTATCCCCTCCAGACACTTCTAATGAAAGCCACATCTTCAGCTTCCCCCAAAATATACGATCCAAGTAGCATAGTTGCAGAACTCTGAGATCACAAACTTTAGAGGTACAGTAACTTGATCTATTTTTCCACCCATTAAACAAGCAAATATATTGCTCTCCCACTCTTCTTCCATCAGTCACCAGAATAAAGGGGCTGGGAAATGAAGGTCTGGTTCCTTTTAGTGTTGGTTCCCCATTAGATATTGCCTGGAGGCCTTGGGTATGAACGAGAGTCCAGCAGTTTGGATGGATCAGTAGCAGTAACCACCAGAGAACTGGTCAGCCTAAGATAGGAGGGGACAGAGAATGAGTTTCTGAAACAACCTTCAGCTAAACTACTATATGTTCCCTGCATCTATCAGTCTCTCTTAATGTTTCAAAAAGATAAGTTTACATATACATGTAAACTAAGGAGAACTAAGATGCAAACCCAAGAAGAAAAGAAAGATAACTAAAATATGTTCTAGGTCTGACCCTGGACGTATGTCCTTGCATTTTCATTCAGTGTATGTATATATATATATATATATGTACATATATATATATATGTCTCTGCTTCTTCCCCGCCTTAGAAGATTCATTCAAGGTCTCTGTAAATTTGCTTTCCCTCCTCCTGTGTATAGCTGCTTGTCTTTAGCTGCTCTTTCAAACTGTGAGCAAATGAAGTTTCAGGATTACAAAACCATTCTAATGCCAATAGTATGAGACCTAGAAACCCCTTCCCCAACAGTTTCTTAGTGCCTTTCAATCGGGGTTTCCCCATGAACAGGAAGTAGTGGTCAAGTGAAAACAGTTAAATTCTCAAACAGAAGAGGTAGAGTTTAGGGGGAAATGGTTAATTTCATCTCTATCCATAAGAAAGAACCAGAATTCCCGATTGTTCTTCAAAATCTTGCCTAAAAAGGAAATTAACCATATTTTTAAAATGTTCAAGTTTTATTTGTAATCATAAGGTGTGCATGTGGAAAGCAGATTCCCAAGAAGGTCAGGAGAGGGGGTTGAATTTCTTGGAGCAGAGTTACAAGCAGTTGTGAGCTGCCATGGGATGCTGGGAACTGAACCCAGGTCTTTTGCAAGAGCAGTATACACTCTTAATCACTAAGCCATCTCTCCAATTTAATGAAAATTTAAATTAGTTATTTTACCTAAGGAAAACCACCTCGAAGTTTGGAACATGTACTCAAAAACAACCAGATTCAACTGTTTTACAGGTATATAATCAAACCAACTAAGATCAAGGACTCCAACCTTAAAAAGGGCATTTTTACCTTTAGGAGAATTATCTTTAACCATAAACAAAATGAGTGCCTCTTCAGAGGCCTGTTTCTACAGAATTTATATTGACATTGTCAAGATTACAAATGTCTACATTCAGCATACTTACCTCAATTATTAAAATCAACTTTCAATGATTTTAATCACTGAATTGATAAATGGTTTCTAAGCAAAGAATTATATATGCACACACACACACATCCACTCCAAACAAGTCAGGTTCCAAATTCACTCTGTTCAGATTCTCCATTCACCTTGGGCTATATAACCTATCACCCACCCAGATGTAAACAGTGAGGACAGAATACCTATCCCACAAAGGCAAACTAAATGAAAATGTTGTATAAAATTCCTTTTTTGTTTGTTTTTCAAGATGCTTACTTCTGTTTAACAGTCCTGGCTGTCCTGGAACTCACTCTGTACGCCAGGCTGGCCTCAAACTCAAACTCACTGAGATCCACCTGCCTCTGCCTCCCAAGTGCTGGGACTAAAGGCGTGTGACACCACTGCCTGGCTATGTAAAATTCTTAGAATACTGCTAAAATATAACAGGTATTTGGTAAATATTTTTACTGGTTCAGCAGTTAAATTTGGGTCTGAAAACTCAGCAGGCAGACCCTGAGCCAATTAATCAGTCTTCTTACTCACTCTAAAAGAGGCAGGTTTTCTCTCATCTCATCCCAAGAACCCTAAAGTAGATCGCCAAAAGACTAATGACAAATGACAAAGATGCCTATTAAGCGCTGTTTTTCCAAACTCAGAACCCAAGTAGAAAGCAATTCTTCTGCTGTAAACTGTCTGTCCCCAAGTAATATTGCTTAAAAGAAAAAAGAAACAGTTAAAAGAAATCTCAGGCTTGGAGTGGTGGTGCATGCCTTTGATCCCAGAACAGGAGGTTAGAGGCAGGCAGATCTCTGTGAGTTGAAGTCCAGCCTGGTCTATATAGCAAGTTCCAGAACAGTCAGAGCTAGAGACCTTATCTCAAAACAAAAACAAAACAAAAAAGCCAATAAATAAAAAAACTAAAAAAAAATAGCTGAGTGGTGGTGGCACACACCTTTAATCCCAGCACTCTGGCCAGAGGCAAATGGATCTCTGTGAGTTCAAGGCCAGCCTGGTCTAACGAGCAAGTTCCAGGACAGTCAAGGTTGTTACACAGGAGAAACTGTCCTGAAAAACGAAACAAAAATAAAAACACCTAAAAATACTTAAAATCGGCAAGCTAACATCCTAAAGCTAACACACAAACCCACACTGATAACCAGAATTGACTAGAATGGTGGCACAGGACAATTTCTGTACTTGGGAGGCTGAGGAAAGAGGACTGTAGAGTGTTGAGACTAATCTGGGCTACATACAGAGTGAGTATAGGTCAATCAAAGCTACTTAGCAAGCAAAAATTCTGAGGGGCAGAATGAAGGGCTACAGTAATAGGAAAAAGTACTGGCTATAAAGAATTGTTACTCCTCAACATCACCATCAATAGAACCAGGGGAGAAGGCATACCTCTACCAGAAAAAAGCGAAGGCTTGCCTGGAAGGGCAGAAGTATTCTCCTCCCCTTCTACTGGATAACCACTCTAGCATGTCATTGCTAGTTGTGTTTTAACTGGCAAGAAAAAGAGGGAAACAATAAAGATTCCTTTATTCCTGAATACCTCTTTAAGCTTCTTGACAGCTGGAATAGTCACAGGGAACAAATCTACTCATATTTCTAGTAGACTCCAGCTGGTATTTGGGAGAACTTGATTAAAACACTGTTATTTTTACAAAAGGTCATGACCCAAGACTTCAAAAAAAGAGTCTAAGGTCATAAAAACAATTTATCACCTTAACTCTTTTTGACTCTGTCAAAAATCAACAATATATCTATCAGTTTCATCCATAAAGCATTTATGTCAAAATGCTAACTTCCATTTGTGACAGAATATCTAACTAATAAGGGCTGGAGATATAATACCATGGTAAAGCACTTTGCCTAGCATGTGGTAAGTCCTACATTTAAGCCTTAGTAAGCAAAAAGGAATACTGAATAAACCGTAAGCAAATAGCATAGGCCACAGAAGGAAAGAAACTAGCACAGGTCAAAAATATACTAAGAAATTCGATACATCTGGAAAACACACAAGCACCACCAACATTTCTCTTTGAACACTGTTCCTCACTACCCTTAGATGCCCCAGGTCCCTAGAGCAGTGGATAACTTAACAGATCTACAAATGTAGTGGGCCTGACTAACCCACAAAGCTTAGCCTCAGTTCTATCATCAAAGCCTTTAAAGTTGCTGATTTAGAGACAAATCCCTTCTCAGTGACTATTGCCTCTACGCCAAATATATTAAAAATTAAGCAGAATTCATCAGCATGGTACCATCAATCTAAGTCGTATGTAAAACTTCAACTAATTATAGTGCCTCTCCGAAAGTTCCTATAAAAAGTGAACAAAGTCAATTGGGCAGTGGGGGCACATGCCTTTAATCCCAGCAATTGGGAGGCAGAGGCAGGTGGATCTCTGTAAGTTTGAGGTCAGCCTGGTCTACAGAGTGAGTTCCGGGACAGGCTCCAAAGCTATAGACAAACCCTGCCTCAAAAAAAGCAAAAAATAAAAAAGTGAACAAAAAACCCATTTTG